TATACTCGAGTATATACGGTACCTATGTAATCTTTGCTATTTATTTTTCTCATACATTAAATATGGATATTTATGTAGCTTACATGTTTCTTTTAACATATTGGTGTTGTGATAATATAATGTTTATAAATGTTAGCTGTTTATGTGTGTGTGTGTGTGTGTGTGTGTGAGAGAGAGAGAGAGAGAGATAATGTTTGTGTATGTGAGTAAAGCACTAACACAACCTTATTCCAATGATAATCCAATTAATATGTACTTTCCAAATTAAATAAATTCCACCCATTGTTAGGAGACATAGTCCTAAATTATGTTTTATTTTGCTTTGAATGGAGCCATTTCATAACAGTAAGGTTTTTTTTAATAGGATGGAGCCAATAACAATAGAGCCAGAGCAAATTTTGTTCTAGAATTTTTCCAAGATTCCGAAACTCAAGAATTCCATGGGTTCAGAGTCCAAATGAAATTCAACGTTTAGGTTTAATATAGCCAGGTTTCTAATCTAGCTATAGATCTAATAATGATGCTCACCTTTATTAAATCACTCTTTGCATTTATTTATTTGTTTCGCTGTGGTTGCCCATCTCACCACTGTGATTCTGGGCAGCAGAAAGAAAATTAAAACCAAATTAAAAATAATAAAACAATTATATTAATTGAAAAAGAAATTACAACCACGATTTCATGTGCAAAACAAAGGCTCCAATTTCTATAAGGAAGACATTATATATCAGTCAAAACTCAATAAGAATCAAGGTATAAATTCTACAGGTAACATTTTGATTTTTATAGGGATTTATTTTTTATAAGAAAATCATGATTGGATATAAGCAATACTAGTATACCTCTACTCTAATATTTAATCTCATATTGATACATTGAACAGACCAAGCCTGTACACTGGTATAATAAAATTGCAATTTGATTTCATAAGAAATTATATACTTATTTTTCATTTTCAAAAGAAAAGAATGGTCACTATGCTATTTTTTTGACATATCTTCATGTTTAGAGATTTAGCATTATTATTGGACACAGAAATTAAAATGCACATGGAATAAAAAAATATACTTAAAATATTGAATCCCCTTACCTCATCAAATAATATTTTTACTTCTTTTATTGATTCATCTTCATGACATAGCTTTTCTTCCAGCAGAGGGCTGTATTTCTTCATAAAGTTTATCTGCTTGATGATCACTGAATTGGCTCCCTCTATTTTTGTCAGTTGGTTTAGGGCATCATGTAATTGCTCATTTTTTTCTTCAAAATGCCACTGTAATTCTATTATATCTTGCAAACATTTCTCCCATTCTGCAAAATATAAAATAACCTATTACTTATAAGAAAATGATAACTATTGCTTTTAAGTTTAAATATGTAACAAGCTGCTAGATTCAAAAATATACGGTATGTACATTTCTCTTCAAAAGATAATTTTATATAATCTATCTATAAAACTATGTTGTAACTACATTTTCTAAAAAAAATGATGTCAATATTGTATAGTAGTCTATGATACATTTTTCAGCAGTACAAATAAATAAGAAGCTAAAGATCTCATTATTTTAGGTTTCATTTGGTTACAGTAACTTTTTTTCTGATATCATTATTAGAATAGAACAGAAAAAAAGAGTTGGAAGGGACCTTGGGGATCTTCTAGTCCAACCCCCTGCCTAGGCAGGAAACCCTACAGATTAAAACAGATATTAACACAGATATAAAATTGTGTACATTCTCCTGGTGAGATAGTGAAGAAGTATTTCTTTGACCCATGCTCAATACTATCTGACAAATTTCCAATCTCTTTTTCTTGGGAGAAGGTTATGGAAATATGTGATGGCAAATCAACCATAGACGATTTCAAAGGATACAGAAGATCTGAAACTTTTTCAGTGAAGATTCAGATTTTATGTGCTTATTGTATTGTTACCTATGCAGAGTCTGTTATGATAGGGATAGGAATATTAATAAATAAATAAATAAATAAATAAACAAGCATAATCTTGTAAATCCATTAAAGTGTTTTTTATTTAGTGTGCTTTCCCCATGGTCAACCCTCCAACTAATCACAAGAAAATGCCATTGGCCCCTACAGTCATAACTGAAGCAAAATGTCATATTAATTAAAAATGGCAATGTGCAGTTGTTCACAGTATAACCATTCACTGCTTGTGACGTGATGAACTTGACAAGAGGGATATTAATACACTCTTATCAAATAGACTATAAAGAATATTAAGTTGCTAAATATGACATTTAAATAAAAGAGAAAAGCTTTTGATACTGAGTTGCTGTTGTTGTTTTGTAGATGTTTCATTACCAAACTAGGTAATATCATCAGTGCCTCCTGATAATCTAACACAGGAGTCCTCAAACTTTTAAACAGGGGGCCAATTCACAGTCCCACAGACTGTTGGGGGACTGGATCGGCTGGGTGGGCGTGGCTAGGTGATCATGTGACTAAGTGGGTGTGGCCAATTTAACAGTCCATTAAAATTTAATTTGTTTTGCTCCTGAGGATGTTTTATTTACTTCTGTTTGCATGTTGCTCTTTTGGTTGCCTTTTCTTTTTACTAGATTGTTTTTTCAGTTGTTTAGGAGTCTAGTGGTCCACTTCAGGAAATTCAGTTTTGCAGTAATTCTTCTCAGCCCTAAGGAGCTTGAGAAATCTCTTTCTATCTCTTTTCTTTCTTTCTTTCTTTCTTTCTTTCTTTCTTTCTTTCTTTCTTTCTTTCTTTCTTTCTTTCTTTCTTTCTTTCTCTTTTTGTCTCTTTCTCTCTCTCTCCATCTTTCTGTCTGTCTATCTATCTCTCTTTATCTATGTTCTGGAGGCGGGAGAGGTGAAAAGTGGGAAACTTTTCCCAGGTTTTCTTGCCTCCTGAGGCATCTGTGTCGCCCATTTTTCACCCCCCACCTCCAGAAGCATACTGCAGGCCAAAACCAGGCATAAATGGCTCATTTTTTGGACCAAAAACTGACAGTTTGTGCCTGTTTTTTGGCGTCTTGGGGTGTCGGTGCACCCTGTTTTTCCCCTACCCCGCCTCCAGAATGTCTCTGCAGGCCAAAATTGTTGGTCTTAACTTTCAGTTCCAGCCCACAGGGCTCGCAAAGGTAAGGCCTGCACTCAGCCGAAGGGCGGGTGGGGCGATGTGGGCAGGGGAAGCCTCATGGTCCTGTGTGGGGAAGATTAATGGCTTTGGCGAGCCGTATGCGCACCGTGGGCTGCAGTTGGAGGACCCATGATCCAGCACTACTGAGGTTACTTAGTTAGTAATGAAGCATCGGCAATAAAACAACCAAGCTCAGAATATTATCAGGATGTTGATTGTAAAGCAGTAAGCAAATTTACCAGGGAATATTGACAATATCTTTCTGATGAATGTACATACTCACATTTTAATAAAACATAAAATTCAAATAATAGCAGTATAGTGAAGTGTGATCTTTTGGATATGATAGGTTGTATTTTTTTAATTCAGTGGCTGAAATAATTATCTTCTCTGCTTGGACTATTATTTCATCACAGTTATGTCGAATGCTCTCCAAAAACAGACTAGCAATCTCATCATTTTTCTGCAGATGTTTTAAGATGACACATAAACAAATACTCTTTTTTTAACATAGCTATTTCTTTTACCTTTTTGAACAGCTTTGGGAAGCTGTTGTAATCTCCAAAATGACAGTTTATCTGAATTTAGGTATAGTTTTTTTCTCTGTTGCTTCTCAAACTCTAAGGCTTCTTCAGCATCTTTACGCTCATTTTCTAATCGTGAAATTAACTCGGTGACTTCTGCTACAACAGCAGAAGTTTTCTGCTTTAAAGACTGAATATCTTCAATTAAAAAACAAGTAGTATCTTTTAATGTAACAACACAATTGACCAAAATGTACAATTTAAGTTTCATTTTAATGTTATCGTGTAGCAAGTCCTAAAAAACTAATGCACAACGTTTTAGACTTCTACACAAATTGTGTATGTAAATCTATATACAATGTATATTTTTCAGGTGCATCAGAAATAATAACAATAACATCTTAAAGTACCAAATCTTTTGAATATTCAGAATTAATATAATTGTCACTAGTAGTAGTCTAATCAGAATAAAAGCAAAACATTGCTGTCATTTGGAGCTTCACTAACATAAGCTCATATGAGAACATTGCCCACTTCTACAATCACATAATCTGAATGGAAGGGCTTGGCAGCTTTTTTTCAGTCAGTCTGATTGATAGAGAATAGCAAAATGTCCCATTCACTTGGACAAGTTTAATTAAATATATGAAATTATATATGAAACTATGAGGGTGGGATGGAAGTATATTTCAGTAATTCCAGAAATGTTGCACATAGACTTCCCTTCTCCTAAGAAAAATGCTGCCTGTCTCCAGATGTCTTGAATTCATATATTGAATTGCTAATTCCAATTCAAACAAATAAAAATGAATCCCATCAATCATTCTTATGTGAACTATATCTTAAAGCAGTAAATCTTCAAGGTTTAATGGCTCATTCAAAAATTTATATAGAACAAAAAAAGATTTAAAAATCGTTTTTAAAATATTAATGTAAGAATTTCAAGCTTTAACATTCTGTTTTTAAAGTATTTATTTTTATCTCAGTCGCTTCAAAAAGACTGGAGGAGATAACAAGATATGCTGCAATCATTTATAAAATGCTGCTGAAAATATGCAGAATAAAGTGTAGAAAAATGTGTGAAACATTGTGTTTAAGATTTGATTTAGGGACGACAGAACATTATATTCAGAATATTATCTGGTGTAGGTTTCTTTGCTCCAGAAGACAAAAACCATCCTTTCTGGTAAATGCCAGTGGTGGTAAGCAGTGAGATTTCACTTTTTGAAGCACTGTAGATACATAGACCTGAATCTAAAGTAATGATTTCAACTTTCACTTTCACTGAATTTGATAAAGGCATGATTCTTTTTCTTCCTGCAATTTCGTTTGCCTCCTTGAAGGACTTGACACAGCATAGAATGATTCCCTTCTTCACTATTTTATTGGAAGTGTTTCAATATTTTAAAATTGAAATTGTAAACTGAATTATACTGCAGCTCTCAAACATTCCCATTATTTCATGGTTCCCTGGAAATAATTACAATTAAACATAATTAATATTAAGAGAAAGCAATTAAATATTTAACCAATATTACCTTTCCAGTGCAATGACTGTTCAGCCTTCACTTCAGTCTCTTTCACAGTTTTAGCATCCAAATCCCTGGGAATATAGGTCAGCATTATAGTCTTTGATCTTTTTTCCTACACTGTATGCTACCACTATATTTTCTCTCTCCAGCACTTTCAAAATCTATTGGTTTAGCTTCCTAATTCTCGATTCTCATCTCAATCCAAAGAAGAAATGGGCAAGAAGTAATTGCTTATTTTAATGTAAAACATGCAATATATAGCATGCTTAACAGTGAATAAAGACCCTGAAGTCTCAGGCCTGAAGAGCAGTTGCAGGAATTGGGTATGCCTAGTTTAAATGAAAAGAAGGACTAGGGGTGACATGATAGCAGCATTCCGATATCTAAGGGGCTGGATGCCACAAAGAAGAGGAGATCAGCCTATTCTCCAAAGCATCTAAAGGCAGGGCAAGAAACAATGGATGGAAATTGCTCAAAGAGAGAACCAACCTAGAACTAAGGGGAAATTTCCTGACAATTAGAACAATCGATCAGTGGAATGACTTGCCTCCAGAAGATGTGGGTGCTTGACACTGGAGGTTTTAAAGAAGAAATTGGACAACCATTTGTCTAAAATGATATAGGCTTTCCTGCCTGAGTAGGGGCTTGAACTAGAAGACTTCCAAGGTTCCTTCCAACTCTGTCATTCTGTTAATTCTCAGTGTGCTAGAAAGAGAAAATTATTAAACACAGGTAGTCCTCAACTTGCAACTTCAACTGGGACCAGAATCTCAGTCACTGAGCAAAGTAGTTTATTAAGCTTTGCATGACTGGAATCCTGGTAATCTCTGTGGCAGTTGTTAAATGATCTCCCAGGTCTTTAAGTAAACAGAAGAAAAGCTGCCTGCCAGTGGGTTTCAGCTCCACGCAAAAATCTTCCTGGCAAGCAGGAAAATGTCCCTACAACCTGCTTCAGTTTCCCTGAGTGCATAGAAATAAAATCCTTTGGTGAACTGTAAGAATGGAACTAAAATCTTCAGGATTTATTTTCCATTCCTGAGAACACCAAGGGATTTCCTTTCCTCTCTGTGCAGGGAGGGGAAATCCTTCAGTGGGCTACATGAAGAGAACTGAAATTTTCAGGATTTCTGGAATCTTTGATGGGCTGCAAGAATGGAGCTGAAATCCTGAAGAAGAAGCTCCCATCCATGCATGTCACTCTGAGAAAAGGCAGTCTCTAAATTTTGATAACTAAATAAATCTCTGTGGGCTGCAGAAAAAGATATGATTTCAACCCTATTCCTGAAGCCTGCTGAAGGATTTCAGGTGCTCTCTGTCTTGCCATCTTCCCCAGTAACTTTCTCAGGACGCCAGCGGAGAAGATTGCTAATAGTGATCACATAATTGCAGGGTATTTGGTAATTGGTCATAAATGTGAATCAGCTGCCAAGTGCCTGAAATGTAGTCATATAACCAAGGGGGGGGGGGGGACTTGTAACATTTTACAATGGCTGGAAGTTCTTTATGGGCCGTAAAGCAACCTTTCAAAGACTGTGTAACTTTGAATGGCCATTAATCAACTTGAGGACTACCTGCACACAAAAACTAGTAATAGTATTATAGTATATATAATGAAATGAATTAAAATTTTATTAAAATCAATATTAGAACAAGGTTATTTTTTTGTTCTAATATCAGATCTTGACGGCCCAGTTTTTCTGGTAATAGCATTTTAAGTTTAAATCAATAGAATAGTAATTGGCAGTATTTCTCCTTATATTTTAGTTAGAAGAGTGTTTATAATAATTATTGAATCAAAACATATAATTTTCTTACCGTGGAAGTTTTTCCAAATTATATAAAACTTCATGCTGTGAACATAAATCAGATTTTCATTGAAACATTTCATTTTTTAGATTTTCTTCCATACATACATAACCATAATACTTTTCCCTTTCACTGTAGCAACATTATGCAAAGTGCAAAAATAAAAGGTGACCTTCTAAGCTCCTCTCATATATTTGTTTTGAAATTCAAACTTAATTCCTCAATTCATTGTGGTATAGTAGTTTAGACCCCAGATGTCAGACCTGGAGCCCATCTTTCTCTTTGGATCTTCAGGGCTGCCACATTTAGTCCATATGCCTGCTGTGGGAAATTGGAAGTGGGAGTTGCATGGAGTGGGTAGAGATAGCCAAAATAACATTCTTTTCTCTGCGAGTCAAGGACATCCAACCTGCACCTGGAGAGGCATGACTGGGAAGCATCTCCAGTTGGGACAGTGGGTTGATTGGACCATGTCATGGACTTGTGGGTGCAGGGGAAGGGACTTTGATTTTATTTTGAGTGGGGAAAACCTGGGGTGCTTTTCGATTCGGGTTTTCCTAGCTATACCAATATGACATCTCTAATAAAATGGAACTTTGAGGAACTGTTGGCCTCGGAGTCTTATTAAGTTGAGGGTGTTACTTGGAACCCTGACATTAGGTTAGAAACCAGGATACTATGAGCCTTAGGCATGAAAGCTGGCTGGGTGACTTTGGACTAGTCATTCTTTCTCAGCCCTACTCATATAGCAGGATTGTTGTTTTGGGAAAAACAGAAATAGTATTAGGTATGTTTGCCGCTTAAAAATAATAGGATTTTTAAAAATCTAAAAAAATGTATTTCTTTTATACTATCACTGCATTAATTTCATTTGCAACAGTCTTTACCTTGTCGGTTTACAGCAAACACTTCTTAAAATTCTCATTCCCACTCAATTTTATTTTTAAACTTTTCTTCATATATTTCACTCTCATTTTCATATAATAAAGGCACAAGTTCTTATGCGAAGACATTTTCACTTCTTTTGACAAACCTTCAGTTTTTACATCAGAGCAGTTTACTCATTGTCTTCTTACTTGCATTTGCACATCCTAAAATTTTTCATTTCCCATTTTTAATAAAAATTCTATCAAATGTATACAATTTCACTTACTAAATGTAATTCTTCATAATTTATAACTTACAATCATTCATTCAATTTTTCCTGTCATTGTTATTGAAAGCAGTTTTGCTTATTTTCAGAAACATTCTTTTCTCATATCACTACTTTTTATCAGCAACTCCATGTTTTACATTTGTTCTGTCACCTCATATTATTTCAATAAGAATACTGCTACATAACCACCCATTATGGACTAATCTTATGCAGATTTACTATAGCCTAATCTCCCCATAATATTTGCATTCACTCTTACTTTGTAGAGGGGAAAAATAACAATATTCTTTTGATCTTTAGATTTAAAAAGTGCTTTATGTGTGTTAAAAAAAAGTTGCACCTACTTCATAAAGCATGCATCCCCCTATTTTAAAATTTCTCAACTTATGTCATTGTACCTTACCATTTTTCAAGAGTTCATTTATGTTGTTCCTTTTCATTGACGTTTTTCTTACATATTAACATTTATAACATTCCTTTCACTGTTTGACATGGCATTTTTATTCCTTAAATACTTCCTAATCATTCCTTTACTTAGTGTCGTACCAAACTGTTTTATTGTTTTATACTTAATGTCTATTTCTGTGCTGGAGGCTCCTTCTTTATTATTCCCCACCTACTTTTAAAACATTATTTTTTTTTAACCAAAATTGCTCTGCTGATGTGGCTCCCATCATCTGGAGCATTATGCCCATCCCTTGAGGTGGGATCCACACCCAGCCTTCTGGCCTTCTGAAAAGCCTTTAAAACATGGCTGTATATGATGTATAATCTGACGTATCTGTGGGGCATTAAATTGAATAATTTTTGGTGATAGTTATCTTATCAAGCTCTTAGTAGCCCAGTCAACTGAAGTAAAGATTCTCATAGCCTTCCCTAACAAGATTTATTGGGGGGGGAAATCAAATAAAACTGACCCAGATGAAGTGGGTGGGAGCAAAGTGTGCAAAGTGTTATCTACTCCATTGGCCACCCCCAAAATGCCACATCCCAAGATAGAGTCTGTGTGACCATATAATTTATGAAGTATTAACATTTATCTTTAGAGCATTGATTGAGACACTGATATCTGACATGTACAAATGTCAGGCTATTTTTGAATATTCTCCTTTAAGTGATTCATTGACAGCAAAGAATGATGATGAAATGAGCTTTTCTGAAAGCAGTGTTGTAGCTATGAAATATTTCTAGGAAAACCTGAAACGTCCATATTCTGATACATTTTTTAATATCATGCCTTAATTATTTCTGCAAATAATTCAAGGTGGTAAACATACCTAGGTAATATTCCATCCTCCTCCTATTTTGCTGCAAAAAATGTTTTAATTCTCTAGATATTCTGACGTCCACTGTCAATTTTATAATGGATATAGTAACTAAAACAATACAAATAAATATTACCTGCAGAAAAGATTCTTCCAATTTCACTTCTAAATCTTGTACTTGATTAATGACTTTATTAACACATGAAGCTGGAGTATTTACAGCAGCACAACTACGTTGTTTGTTGGGAATGCCTATTGAAATATTTTCATTTATATCTAAAAAAACCCAGAATAATTATATTTAAACATTGTTTATCATTGAATACATTTGTGACATCTACAGGTCAAATTAGATGGCTCTACATTTACAGATTCTGCTTGCATTGTTTATTCATAATGCTAAACTACAGTCAGTTTTTTTTCATTGATGTGCAAACTCACTCATTATGGTTTAGCATTTATGTGTAAACCTGTTGATTATTACTATTATTTAATAAACTAAGTTGACTTAATATGTATGAAAACAGCCAATATAGGTTTTTGAGGGTTTATTCTTCTTTTTCAGCCATTCTGTTAGTGAATAATTAGCAGTGAATCAGACTGATGAGCAAATTCTGTGAATTGAAGTCACAAAGGGTACCCAGATTGGAAAGGCTATGATCAAATATGCCAGTCAAGTATGTTCATCCCAAAATTGGTCATTAATTAAAAAACAAAATTATAATTACCAGGTTCATGCAAACAATTGTGCTAAATTATCTAGGGAATTCAATATCATTCATTTGCTGATCAATATATTGACTACATCTGTTCACATTGCAATTTCTAATTTGTCCCTTCTGAAAGATTCCTTGATTTTCACAGCTTGGTATGGAGGAATCCATTTAGTTAATGGGGTTTGTTTTATTGCCAGGCAGAGATTATAGAAAAAGTCAATAAATAAGAGGCAGAATAAGAAATGATGATCTTAAAAGACAAGTCCAAAAGAATATACAAATGTATCAAAATAAACTTTTTACAGTAAATATGTTTTAGAAAATGTCAAGTTATATAAAGTTGAAAAAAACAAAAACAAATACCTTCTGTTTCTTTACAGTTTTCCTTGGAACAGGGGGAAAATAACTGTGCATCAGTCATTGTTATTCATAGCTTTTTGCAATCTAATTTTTAAAAAGAAATAAAGATATAAAAATACAGAAATTCATACTGTGTCAATCATACTTATTACATTAATGAAAAATCTGCAGCTCATAACCAAGTCCTGTATACTCCAGGGAGATTCAGCTACTTTTCCAGGTTGAAAAGTTGTTTTCAACAATCAAGTATACATGTTTTAGGAAAACAATGAGTCTCTTAAGGAATATTTATTGAGAGGATAGAGTATTCTGCCGCCCAGACCAATGTTTTATTTTTGAGGTGGAAAATAATAATGTTGCTGTACCTCGAATTAAGGAATAAAGGGCTGTAAAAAAGGAGTTTTAGTGGGTATATTAATGAAGAAGAAATTCTAATTCGGGGTGGGGGATCTTGCTTCCACAAGTGATCTTTTAATAGTCATTCATGGGGAAAAGTCTTTAATGCCATAGCAAAATGATTTTTATGCCAAAATTATGAAGAATAATCACCATAATATGAAATCATAGAATTGCAATGGGATGGATGTTATAATTGAATATCTAAAGCTAACCGTCTACTACTGGTGTGCTGCAATGAGATCACCCTAGGTGCCTTGAAATTTCCGGAGACTATAGACCCGTGATGGCGGACCTATGACATGCGTGCCCAAAGTGGCATGTGGAGCCATGTCCCCTGGCACATGCGGCATTGTCTGTTCCTCTTCCAGTTTTCTGGTGTGCATGCATGCATGATGTTCAGCTGGCTTTCATGCGTGAGGCAGTGCTGAAAACTAGAAGAGCTGGTCTTTTGTTTTCCTGCATAAGCAGGCACGTCGGCCAGTTGATCATCGCGCACGCATGCATGTCAGTAACCAGAAGACTAGTTGGCCACTGCACATGCGCGCGCTGGAAACCAGAAGTTCATTTTCCGGCGCACACATGCTCCCTGTGCAGCTCTTCTTCTGGGTTGTGTCCCAGACGAGTGCGCACGCTCCCTTTTCAGCACTCAGTGCCAAAAAGGCTCACCATCACTCTATAGACTTTTGTGTCTACATGAGTTATACTTTGTTCCGGAGCACCAGTCGCATTGCGGGCTCTTGGCCATTCCCCACTTAAAGAGCTTTGTCTTAGTTCTGGCACATCCTGTCCCGATTCTATTCAGGTAGCTCCATATTTTGGGGGGCAACTGAATTCCTGGAAATGGTTTTGTTGGATCTATGTGATCTGTCTGATTGTGGTTAGTAAAAGTCATTCATCTTAATCATCATTCTTCACCTAGATTGTAAGACTGTGGTATGCTATCCCAAATTGGTTTCCTACATTTAAGCCTGTTAAGAGGTAGAGAATTTAATATTTTATATATTGGAAGATCTCTAGGAGTTGATGGCATGTTTATCTCATACTACTCTTGGACTGTCTGTTGTTGTCACCTGAGATCAGGAGGGGCAATATTTAAAAGAATATGGAACCATGGATTTAAGGGTTCAGATATTATTCTTATTGTATCATTAAGGTGAGAATCAATCTTGTTGGTATGAATGAGAGTAAAATTTGCCTTTCCAACACACATTTCCCCAGGAATCAAAATGGGTGTCTTCTGTAATCTTGACTTTATCTTGATCAGGGGTGTCAAACTAGTGGACCGCGAGCTGGATGCATCATGCACAGGCCATGCTTACCCCAGTTCTGTGAAAGGAAAAAAAAACATAATGAAATGTCACATGACACCAATGTGATGCCGCAGGTTTGACACCCTTGATCTAGATGGTGGGGTAGAGAAGGCTTTACACTCACCATTTGCCAATGATACTTTAAAAAGAACTATTTCCCTTTACTAGTACTAGCATCAGGGAACTAGATTGATCAATATGGAAGGGGAAAATTTAAACTTTTTCCTCTTATTAGCATTAATAAAAGACAGAGATGCTTTAGCTTTGTTTCCTATCTCAACCCAGGGAATAGAAAGGCCAAAATGGAAAGTCATGCGTGACAAACTAAGTACATCCTTACTGCTTCCATAGGTATGAAAACACTGTAGCAGCCAAGAGCTGCTAATCAAAAGACCTTGATTAATTGATCATCAGCAATGATCCCTTATGATTCAATAAGTTATAGAACTATCTTTAGCAGCCATAACTTGAAGTAATCATTTTCTGTATGACTTTCAGTCTCTCACGTCATTGTGGAAGAATTTTGGCCCACTCTTCTTTACATTGCTTCATTTCATTGAGGTTTGTGGACAATTGTTTTATGCAATTATTTTGAAATCCCACCAAAACATCTTAATCAGCTTGCGATCTGGACTTTGCCTGGGCCATTGCAATAACCTTTATTCTTTTTCAGCCATTCTGTTGTAGATTTGCTGGTGCGCTTGAGGTCATTGTCCTGTTGCATGACCCAATGTCAGATGTGCTTTTAGCTGTCGGACGGATGGTCTCACATTTGACTCTAGAATACTTTGTTATACAAAGGAGTTCTTGGTCAACTCAAAGCCTGCAAGGTGCCCAGCTCCTGCAGCTGCAAAGCAAGCCCAAATCATCACCCTGCCACCACTATGCTTCATGGTTGGTATGTTTCTGCTGATATGCTTATTTGGTTTTGCCAAACATGGCACTGTGTAATATGACCAAACATATCCACTTGGGTCTCATCTGTTCAAATGACAATGTTCTACAAGTCTTGTGACTTATTCAGATGAAACTTTGTAAACCTAAGCCATGCTGCTGTGTTCTTTTTAGAGAGGAGAGACTTTCTCCTGGTAAACCTTCAAAACAAATATTTGTTCAGTCTTTTTCTAATTGTATTGTCATAAAATTTAACATTTAATGTGCTAACTGAGGCTGTTGAGTATGAGATGGAACTCTTGGATTTTTTTGAATTTCTCTGAGCATTGCATGGTCTGCCCTTGGGATGAATTTGATGGGACATCCATTCCTGGGAAGATTGAAATGGTCTTGCATATTTTCTACTTGTAAATAATTTTCCTCACTGTAGGATGTAAATTGTTTGGAAATGGCCTTACAATCCTTCGTAGATGGATGGGCAGCAATAATTGCTTCTCTAAATTCACTGCTGATATCTTTCCTCTTTGGGATTGTGTTAATACCACACCCACACACCAATGTTGGAGACCAGCAAACTCCTAAAACTTCAGCTTTTATAGAGGTAATCTCACTTACTGATTATCAATTGATCAAAGGCAATTAGCAACACTTGGCTGTTACTTAGCCTCTTCATACCTATGGAAGCAGTATATTTAGTTTTTCATACATGGCTTCTCCATTTTGGCTTTCTTTTTGTAAAATAAATGATGACATGGTGTAATATGTCATGCATTATTCATCTGAGGTTGTATTTACCTACTTTTAAGAACTGCAAATTACAGATGATTTATACTATGTCCTGATACATAAAACCATAGAACTCAAAGAGAGTGGACTTTTTAAGGCCCCAAAAAATTAATTTAGAAAACAACTTTAGAATATTTAGAATTAACTAGAAGCAAAGTTATAAAAACACTAAGATGAAATTGTTAACAAAGTAATCATGCTGTATGTAAGAGTACTGTATTCCACCATATTACAATAATCTGCTAGCTGCATTTAGAACAGATGAAGACATGCTTATATTCCTTCATTTCCATTTTTTCCTCTCTCCTACTTTTCTCCGCTGTAATCAATTGGGGAAAGAATTTTAAATTCAACTAAGTGATTGGTCTGAATTCCCCCTGGATTGGAAGGATATTAAAAATGATTGGTATGCAGCACATCCATTTTAAGGCTTTTCAAAAGTACATTCTGACAATGAAGACTGAGAGATATATGAAATAACCCTTTCAAATTATTTTCAGGTGCTGCTGTATGGTCCTAACAACAGTGTAGCACTGGTTTTATATATTCCTTCAGTTATTGTTTTATCCACTGCATCTATCTTGCTGTAGGTTGCTTGGCCTGGGGTCTTGATAGGAACCTGCTATATTGGGGGTGGCTGAGTAGAGAAGATCTCCATCTCAGACTATACATCATCTTGGTTTTTAGCTTTTCTATTTAATTCTTCTAATTTTAGTTTGTTTAGTTTAGTTTTTTAACTTTTTATCATATTGTAAGCCACACTGAGTAACTGCACCAGTAAGAAAGAAATTTAATAAACAAATAAAGGCAATCTAGATTGAATTACTAAAGCTTTGTTCTATGACTGCTCTTCTTGTTTACAGAAGAGTCGATAGACACTTTAATAAATCTGAATGTCTACCAAAACTTGTAGAGCAAACAGAAATCTATTAACCCACTGATCTGCTGTTTAAATATACTGATTAAACATCCATCTATGTTAGTTGGCGTAACCACATATATAAGAATACTATTCCTTTCTATAGACATATATACTGATTAGCACAATTGACATGTTTGTGTTTTGGATTTTGGTGCTTTTTAAAGGACTGATCAGAAAATAAGCATCTCTTTTATATTTATTTAAATGTAGCAGGTAAAATATTTCAGCATTTTATCAGAAAATAGGATTATACTTATATTTGACAAATAAATAAAACATGTCTAAAACATGATAAAAGAGCATTTTAAAAATGCATTTTCTTCTTGTTAGAATATTTTTACCAAATGTTTTGCTTTTAATTAAATGTTTAATTTAATTAAATGTTTTGTTTTAAATTATGTCAGTTTATCATTATATTTTAACTATTTTATCCTCTATTTTTTAAGCAACAAAACAAAAAAGTATATAAAATAATTTTGCTTAAGTATATTGTCTTTACTTCAGTATGTCTAATTAGTTTTATTTTATACTTTCTGTCAATAATTAGGAATGTAGCAATGTGGGTTTTTTTCAAACATATGGAACAATTAAACTAATTTTCAATGTGCAGTTACTATGGAAACTAGAATATCTTAAAAGTGTTACAAATTAAAATGCCCTTTTTGCATTAATATGCTTTTTTTAAAAATGTGAATGTTTACAAAAATGTTAAAATTAAAAAAAATATCTACAGAGGACAAAATTACTATGGGCATATTTTCATGCATGTGAAGATTTGTTTGGAAGAAAATATGATCAATTATTCAAAGTAAAATGGAAACCTGAAATGGGCAGTTAAAAAGTTAGCATTTTGTAAAAATGTGTAATATAGTATAAAATATCTGACACTGTTTCAAGTCCAATTCAATTTGATTTTGAAGGGTGATTTTTAACTTTTAAATATACAAGGGTATGCATATATAACAATAATTATCACTAGCTAGAAATCACTTTAATGGGATTAATGCAAATCTATAGGAAACTATTATGAAGTACAAAAACCTCAAATTTTGTAAAATATGGGTACAGAGAAAGTCGACAGTTCGAATCCCTAGTATAGGTCTCCTGCGTAAGCAGAGGGTTGGACTAGATGACCTTCAAGGTCCCTTTCAACTCTGTTACTGCTATTATTATTTGCTGTCATCCGCTTACAAATTCCTGGTTTTCCTCACAAAATCTAATCCCTTCATTTCCACACTACAGCCGCGATGCACGACCAAAAGCCTAGGCGTCCTGAACTAACTTTGGTATATTTCAAACCCCGAGTCACGGCCGCCATTTTTATTTTTTTGACTATATTCTAATGACGCCCCGATGACAGGTTAGGAGACAAGGAGTTCGACCTATCGCGTTATGGAACCATGGTCCAAAAGAAACTCGGCTCCGCCTTCCGGGTAAGATAAGGTCAAATGGGCTCGAGTATCCTGAATCTCGGCCAATAGAGGCAACAAAACGGGAAGTAGGGCGGAGCTCTAGGATCTCAGCGCCCCTCCTCCAAGTCCCACCCAGCCGGGCTCCCGGTTGGAAACACGTGCGAGCTTCTGCTCATTTCCCGCCACAACAGTCACGTGAACACCGATCTCAAGTTCTGGTGGTCCTCGGGCCCCTCTCCGTCCACCCGTCTAGCCAGGAGCCGGGCTCAAATCCTTGGCCTGCCGCTGCCTCAGGGTACCCGGCTCCCCCGTCACCAGTTTCCTGCTCTTGCCGCGGTGACACCAACCACGATTCGCTTTTGGCGCTTGTACTTGTAAGCTCGGCCTTGCCATTCCCTTCTTTCAGCTGCCCGCGTTGCGTGCTGTAGTCTGGGGTTCGTTATTCCTGTCTCCATGACAACAACGGCTACACGCTTCGAAGAAGCTTGTGCGGCCCCGCAGCAACACTCCTCCCCCTCGTTAGCACAACCCCAGCCTAGAAGGGGCGGACGGGAAGCACGGCAGCGATCCTTACCGTTTCTCTACTCGAAGCGATCGTGGACCAGGAAGGGCGGGTTGTTTCCTAGCGCTAACACTCGGCGCAGTTTTAAAACAATGGAAATTTTCAGATTTTCATAATCTGAATCTACCGATTATCCTCATTAATTTTTTTAAAGATAGAATCGTAGAGCCCCCTCCCCCCTTTTTTTAAAAATGTAGATTTTATAATCTAACTAAACCTTCCTCAACTTGGCTCCTTGGTTCCAAATAGGTTGGAACTGCAATTCTTAGAATCCAGTGTCCACATACCTATCAGTATATACATTTCATTAGATTAAGGTGACCAGATTTTCAGATTGGTAAAGAGGGCCACCTTGGGGGGGGGGGGGGGCTTGATTAGAAATTTTATACGGAGCAACGAAAATTTTCAAAAATAGTATTGTAATATTTTTTTATTTCAACATAACTACAATTTACAAATATAAATTGTAACTCTTGCCAAACATCAAAATTTTGATCGCATGACCATGAGGATGCTGCAACGGTTGCTAAGTGTGAAAATGGTCGCTAAGTGTGAAAAATGGTCATCAGTCACTTTTTTCAATGACATTGTAACTTTGGTCACTAAATGAACTGTTTGAAAGCTAAGGCTAGCTTGCATTATAATGCCTTATGCTAGCTTACATTTTCAAGAGAGAGAAGCTAAACTCCTTATTAGAATTGAAATAGAAATGAGTAGAGTAGAATGCCCCCTTTAAAAAAAGTAAGTTTTTTTTTTAAATGACTCAATGCAGCCAAGTTCATTATATGGCATCATGCAAGCCTTGCCACATCTTATTATGCCATCATCGCTATATCTCTTTAGAAAGTCTACACAAATATAGTTTGTAAATCCCCCTATATTGCTCCTTTCCCATGACTCCTGATGCTGGCAAGTAGATTGCCCTTGCCCACAGAAGCTCAAGAGGAGAAAATTGGATAAAGCACACCTTAGTCATGCTGGATGAAAATTTAAATTTCTAACTTGCCTCTTTTTGGGGGGGGGGCATCAAGGCTGTCCAGGAAGACCAGCAGAATAATAATTTTTAAAAAAGAGATAGACTTAATACGATAAATAGAGAAATGTGTAGAGAAATTTAAAGAATGAAGAGGGATGGATGAGTTTTAAAGAGTCTGGGGTTGCAAAACGGGGGTTATTAATCTCTCTCTCTCTCCCTCCCTCCCCCTCTCTCTCCCTCCCTCCCTCCCTCTCTCTCTCCCCTATTTTCCCCATAACAGCAACCCTGTGAGGTGTGAATTGGGTTGGTGATTAGTCCGAAGTCATTCAACCGGCTTTCATGCCTAAGGTACGACTAGAATTCACAATCTCCTGGTTTCTAGTCTGCCATAACCGTTAGACCAAACTATTGCATTTTAGTATCCATTTCTAGATGTTTTATTACAATTATACATAGTGCAAAACCACATTCTGCAGATTTTCAATATTTGCATTGACTGAAGAACAGATTCTTGCAAATTTTCACATGGCAGAATATAATTTATCACCCAATAAGTTAAAGAAAAACAATAGTAAGAAAGGCAGCTAATCTTCAGTTACAGCTCTAATCAGTATCAATATTTAATCCTTTTTGTCATTTAATGGACATTTCATCTTTTGTCCACTGAATGAATAATGGCTGGAAACTGACCAAGGAGAGATTCAACCTAGAAATGAGGAACTTTCTGACAGAACAATCAACCAATGGAACAGCTTGCCTTCAGAAGTTGTGGGGCTTCATCATTTGAGACTTTCAAGAAGAGATTGGACTGCCATTTGTCAGAAATGGTGCAGGGTCCCCTGCTTGAGCAGGGGGTTGTACTAGATGACCTATGAGGTCCCTTTCAACTCTGTTAATCTGTTAAAGTTTAATGATAGCCTTGTGTTTAAAACCTATTCCAAAATTGTTAATGCATGTAAAATTACCACAATTTTTATCCTCCTGGGGAATGAAGGTAAGTTAAGGACTTATCAGTATGATGGGCATGTTACTGATACTCACTTATACAGTTGTTGCAATAGACACTTGATTGTTGATTTTCTGTTCTCTTAATGAGTGTTTTATTCTAAACTTAACAATAATATGATAATTTGTAACTTTCTGGTTTCAATTGGCTTACCTTCTCTGATGTCATAGAAAACATTTGCACGCCTTATCCTAGAGCACCTTAGTACGTCAAGGAAATCTTAGAATATGAATGTCAAAATCTGTGACCAGCCTATGTGAAATTGAACCCCCTCAACTATGTCAGTACTCCATGAGTTTTTGAAATATGCTGTGTTAGTACAGATCAGCTCAGTGATCTTGGAACATTTCGATGAAAAAAGATAGACAACATGCTGTGCCTATATGTGTGGTGGGTTTAAGCAATGCATCAGTATTTCAGATATATAATCTTAAAATTCATAAATGAACATGAGCAGTAAGCAGAATAAAATAGTAATAAATATTGTATCATTATAATACAGATTTTGTACTATCATGAAAAATATCCCATTTCTAATACTTTTTTCAATGATTGTTTTTCCTAGTATATAGAATACTTGTTTATGTTGCAAACATTTTATAAATATCTTTCCTTGAGAGTTAAGGGATATTTAAGAATGAGAGAGACATTAGTTTTTTTTTAAAGTCTAAAAACTGGATTTGAAAAGCAGACATGCTGATTTATGCTTTTTTATTTTTAGAAAGTGAATCTTATACATACACATACACATACACATTACACATACACATACATACATATGCTTTATGTTAATATCTATTATTTCAATCATTTTATATAGGGCCAAAATAATTAATAAATGGTTACTGACACAAAAGCAATGACTGGCAGTCTTAAAATTGGATGAAAATACCAAACGTTGTCATTTGACAACTTTAAATTAAATCTGGAGGTGGAGAGAGAACAATACTTAATACATACCGGTAACTCCTGAAGGAATAAACCTTACAACAAGGAAGTGGTAAAAAGGAAGGAGTGCTGAGTAATCTGCAGGAGATATAGCAGGTAACCCTAAGAAAGTTAATTTATTAACAGACATGTATTTGGTATGGCAGAAAAATTGTATGAGCAATTTAAGGGTTAACAAAAAATTACTGAAGACCAAATGACCATTCCTTCCCAGGCAGATTATATGAGATTATAATAAATGGAGAAAATTTTTGCTAGGCATTGTGCTTTATGCATTTAAATCACATCTGTTTAATCTGTACACTATTTCATCTTATTTTAGCAATAAAATATAGTTGGTTAGAAAGATAAACTTAAAAACTATAATGCTAAAGAAAAGATAATTTAGCTATAATTAATAAGTAATTTACTCTGTGATTATGTGTGAAAGAATATAAATCTGGTTTGGGAAAAGAAATGAGCAATGAACCATTACTCAGCATTGAGAAAAAGTATGAGAAATAAATTTAATGTCCTGTTGATTTTGTTTGGTGCAAGAGGTGGTTTGGGAAAACTGACAGGTTTTCAAAATTTTATTATTGTGCCCTACAACAAGTCCATTCCTTTCCCTGCCTTTTTTTTAATCTTGTCAATCTTGAAGAGCGGATATAGTGTATCTTTTATTTCTGAACTGCAATACACTATTCAATATAATAATTTCTTCAGAAAATTAACTTGCACTTACTTCCACATCCTTAAATCAAGAGAATGTTTGCCTTTGAAATGTAAATAGTGCAACTTCATAAAAATTTCTTCTCTGAAACATTTTTTCAGTTTCTCTTGTCACATTCTGAATCATATTGAAGGAATAAAGTAGAAGAAAGATACAGCACTTTGAAGATAACAGTCTGAATTAACATAGTTAAATGTAAAGGTCAACTTCTCTTTAATATTAATTCAAATATGAGGAATCCCCAATGTAACTAATTGGTTATAGTATAAAAATAATTTTCAATATTGAAAACAAGCCACATTTCTGAATTTTAAATGTGCCAAGTGGATTTTATTATGCATCGGGGTCAGGTAAAGCATGCCTAAAATTACATCAGCAATTTACATATACGTTGAGTTGGCCAAATGACTAATTGAAAATTTTTGGGGCAAGTTGAAACTGTATCTTCAAATTGCCATAAATATGTATGTGCTTAATCTGTTTGACTAGCATTCTGCCAAGGGCTACAGTAGCTTATAGTACACCAGGTATATACTTGGAAGGATGTATATCTAGAAGTAAATCTGTATAATCATTCAATCAGTACATGTTGCCTATCAAATCTATGTGCCTATTTTGCTAATACAGTTGGGGGAAAGTATAAACCATGAAGCAGATTTTTTTTCCTTCTGGTTTTTAATAATTATGAGTTAGCACAAATAATGATGGCATTATTGCTGAAAACCATGAAAAAAATACAAATGAGAGGACAACTCACAGCCAGAGCTGTAAAAGTGATACTTTTGAAGATTTGAACATTCTTTCACCTCCCTCTATTGCCTAATAGTTTTTTAAATTAGTGAATGTAACCTAATGACCAGTTGTTTGAGTGATTAACCTATACAATCTACAGCTCACCAACCTTTATTACCTTCTGTATACCTTCTTACAAAATATCTTACAGTTTTCTTCTTACCTTTTTGTAATCTCAAAATCTTAGGAAAATAATTATATAATGGAAGCAATGAATGTTAGATCGTTGTTTCCTATTAAAAGTAGGCTATAAAAGATATATAAATATCATTATTGCTGATATAAATGGTTATCAACAAATACGTTGAAGTAATAGTGTTTTAAAATACTTCATTTATTTGTTATGTTCAATACTTTTATAGTACCTATTAACAATAAACCCTATGAGGATTTAAATTATAAAATACAAAAGATGCAAAATAGATATATTGAAAACAATTAAAAATAACTTAAAAGAAAAACTACTCTATACAGGCACTAACTATATTAGTTGTGCTGTAGTGATAAGATATAACTACAAATATTTCTCATTTCGGTTCTGATATATTAATTCACTTCATATAATTCCTGAATTAATGGTTTATGAAGGTGGATGAACTGCAGATTCAAAAAATCCTTTGTTATCACATACTAGTTTCTTTGCCTTCATACCTCATATGGCTTTCTTGCTATATTTAAACTAAAGCTCAGATTAATATCAGTTGGAAACCTCAGAAAATTTATACTCCAAATTAGTCTACGTGTAAATATTTTGCACAACAATAATTATGTGTACAATAATTATACAATTATCCCAAAGGATTATGAAAAAGAAAAGAAAGCAGCAATGTTAGCAACAATAGGAATATATAAAGAAATCCACAAACATTTAAAACTAGGATATATTTTTTTCGTAGCAATAGGAATGACATTCTAATTTATTATCTGCTCTTTGATATCTCTTGTATGTTACTAAACCAACCTTGACATCAATAATGTAATTATGTTATCTCCAAAATAACATAATATTTAGTTCATTAACTAGATTGCTTAACCAATTAATTAGAACACTGATTAAACAAAGAATGCTGAATGTAACTGTGTCTCTTCTACAAATTCATAGCATGAAGGGACCTTGACCTGGTCCACAGTCATAAATGTCACCATACAAGAGAACCATAGCAGATAGAAGACATGATTGAATCTTGTATTGACTGTTGAGATATAAAAGAGTTATAGAAAAAGAAATAATTGAAGGACAGAGTTGAGTTACAGCAGAGGTACCATGTTGCATAAATAGTCAACTTTTTACTGATTTATTTTTATTTTATTGACGTAATCGATTGATCTCATGTATCATTATTCTGGATGGCATACAAACAATTATAATTATTTCAGAAACTTTCAAAAAATATTATAAAGGCTACGAGAGAGCATTAGATTATAAACAACGGAGCTACCTTATCAAATTACTATTCCCTTGCAACTGCCAGGATTGGTCACAAAATCAGATATTAAGGGACTTCCAGAAGGTCAGAGATGTAGCAAATCTCACCTCAGGAGATGATGTTCCACAGGCAGTACCATGGCAGAAAAACCTCATCTTTTGGGTCCTAACAATTCTAACAGATGGGACTCACAACCTCCCTCTTATGCCAGACCTGACAAGATGGGCAGAAATAATTGGAAAGAGGCAGTCCCTCAAAACTTCCTCTTTGCGCTATGTATTCAAAATGGACAACGGTCTCTCTGTCTCTCTGTCTCTCTGTGTGTGTGTGTAGATATATATGTATGTATACAGCATGTATATTATGTAAGTATATGGGTAAGATATATACTTTCTTTTGAGAGCAGGCAACAGAATTTCATTTTTAATGTGTGCCAGTGTACTCACAATAAAAAAATGACAATAAAGGTTATCTTAATCTTAAATAACTCAACATCATGCCATGAAGAGCTTTAAAGGTCAGAACCAACACCTTGAATTAGACTCAGAAGCAAGCTGGCAACCAATGCAGCTCGTAGAGCAGAGATATATATGTGTGCTGCACACACACGTGGGAGCACATATAACTTCCTATGCCACTGAATTCTGTAGCAGCTGGAGCTTCAGAATACTTTTCAAGGGCAGCCCCCTGTAGAGCACATTACAATAGCCCATCTGGGAGGTGACCAAAGCATGTGCAACCAAGAGTAGAATAATAAATAAAATCATTAGTTTTAAAGTTTTTAAGTCCTTTTGATGAAAACTTTTGTGTACTAAAATTAGAAGTGGAAGACGTAAGGTTACCTAAATTACCATCGCCTTTTTATTAGAATTCCAGTTATAGCCTTAGTGTCATTGATTAATTGTTCAGTGCTTAACTGAGCATTACTGAATCTGCAAAGAAAATTTAAAAAATCAGACCAGCCTTCACAGTTGTACTCCACTGAAATCACACTTTGGAACGATCTCCCCGTGGAGATTCGTACCCTCACCACCGTCCAGACCTTCCGCACAGCCCTCAAGACCTGGCTATCCCGTCAGGCCTGGGGATAAAGATCGTAATCTGTCCCCATCCGAATGATGAATGAACGTTGTGTACTATTTTTACTTATGTATTGTTATGTCTTATTGTCTTGTATTCCCCTCCCCATAAATTGTAAGCTGCCCTGAGTCCCCTCAGGGAAAAGGGCAGCCTATAAATAATAAACAAATAAAAAATAAATAAATAAGAGCCACGAGAGAGAGAGGGCCCTCAAGAGCACCAAGCATGTCCTCAAGTTCATTTCGGACAACATCAATTTCGACGTAAGTCTCCCTTTGCGATGAGAAGGAAAATGTTGTCAAAGAAAAGAAAAACCCCAAGAAAGTCCAGCTGCCTTTTGGGAAAAGCACCTTTGGGATGTGACCAGGAGGATACAAGGAGTCCTGTTTGAGCAGAGGGTTGGAGGAGAAGACCTCCACGGTTCCTTCCAGCCACTGCGGTTCTGTCATGCTGTGATACTGAGATTCTGTAATTCTCAGGTTCTGTGATTCAAAGATTCTGAGATTCTGTAATTCGCAGGTTCTGTGATTCAAAGATTCTGAAATTCTAAAATTCTCAGGTTCTGTGATTCAAAGATTCTGAGATTCTGTAATTCTCAGGTTCTGTGATTCAAAGATTCT